GTCTGCCCAGGTGCAGGTGGAGAGCGCTGAGCCATTGGCACCATCTCAGAGCACTCTCCTTCCGATCCAGGGAACACAAACATCCAGTACCATAAAAGCCTTTGAAATGCTTTAAAGCCAGAGTTTGCACTGGCAGCACAGTCCTAGGAAGCCGCACTTTAAAATGAGGGCTGATGAGAAGCCAAGGACAATGTCATGGGGTTTTGATTCTACTTCATGTTCTGGCTTTGTGGGAGCCTAGCCAGTTTGGATGTTCACCTTCCTAGACATGGAGGGGGGAGGACCCTGGACTTTCTACAGGGCAGGGAACCCTGACTGCTCTTTGGACTGGAGAGGGAGTGGGAGAGGAGTGGGGGAAGGAGGAGAAGGGTGGGAGGAGGGGGAGGGAAATGGGAGGCTGGGAGGAGGCAGAAACTTTTTTTTTCCTTTTCTCAATAAAAAAAAGGAAAAAATAAAATAAAAAGAACAAGCAAGGCTGTCCACTCTCTCCATAAGTCTTCAACATAATTCTTTATGTTCTAGCAATAGCTATTAGACAGCCTAAGGAGATCAAGGAAATTTAAATTGGAAAGGAAATAGTCAAAATTTGGTTATTTGCTGATGATGTGATAGTGTATATAGTGTATATAAATGCACAGAAAAATCTACCAGAGAACTCCTACAGCTGATATATATCTTCAATGATGTGTCAGAATACATGATCAACTAAAAAAAAAACAAATCAGTATCCTTCTTATACACCAAGGATAAAGAAGCCGAGAGGGAAATCAGATGAATATCACTCTTTACAATAGCTACAAATAGCAGAAAGTATCTTGGGGTAATACTAACCAAGAAAGTGAACGGCCTATTTGACAAGAACTTTAATTCTTTGAAGAAAGAAACTGAAGAATATACGAGACAATGGAAAGATGCTCTGGGATAGGAAAGATCAACATAATAGAAATGACAGTCCTACCAAAAGCAATCTATAGATTCAAAGTAATCCCCATCAAAATCCCAACACAATTCTTCACAGACCTTGATAGAAAATAATCAATTTCATGTGGAAAATCAAAAAAAAAAACAGGAAAGCTAAAACAGTCCTATATAATAAAGGAACCTCCAAAGGCATTGCCATCCCTGACATCAAGCTCTATTACAGAGTTATAGTAATCAAAATAGCTTGGTATTGGCATAAAGACAGAGATATTGACCAATGGGATTGAATTATAGACCTGGATATTAATTAATACACCTATGAACACCTGATTTTTAACAAAGAACCTGAAATTATATAATGGAAAAAAATGCATCTTCAACAAATTGTGCTGGCATAACTGCATGTCAACTTGTGGAAGAATGAAATAGATCCATATCTATCACCATGAACAAAACTCACCTTCAACTGGATTAATGACCTCAATATAAATCTGACAACACTGAACCTGATAGGAGAATGAAGGAAGTAGCCTTCAGTGAATAAGCACAGAAGACCACTTTCTAAGTATAACCCCAGTAGCACAGACAATAAGAGAAACAATGAATAAATGGTACCCCCTGAAACTGAGAAGCTTCTATAAGGCAAAGGACACAGTCAATAAGATAAAAAAGGGAACCTACTAAATGGGAGATCTTCACCAATACCACATAAGACAAAAGACTGATCTCCAAAAAATATAAAGAACTCAAGAAATTAGACATTAAATTCTAAATAACCCAATTAAAAAAATAGTGTACTGAACTAAACAGATTTCCCAACAGACGAATTTCAAAAGGTCAAAAGATACTTAAGGACATGTTCAGCTATCCAGTTAATGCAAATCAAAACAACTTTGAGATACCATCTTACACCTGTCAGAATGGCTAAAATCAAAACACTAATGATATCTTATGCTGGAGAGGATGTGGAGTAAGAGGAACACTCAACCATTGCTGGTGGGAATGCAAACTTGTGCAACTACTTTGGAAATCAGTGTTGCAGTTTCTCTGAAAATTGAGGGTCAACCTACCTCAGGATCCAGCAATACCACTTTTGGGAATATACCCCAAAAATGCTCAGTTATACTAAAAAGCATTTGTTCAACTATGTTCATAGCAGCATTATTTGTAATAACCAGAACCTGTAAACAACCTAGATGCCCCTCAATGGACGAACGGATTAAGAAAGTGCGGCTCATTAGCATACTACTCAATGGTAATAAACTATTACATCTTGAATTTTGCATGCAAATGGATGGAATTAGAAAACACTATCCTGAGTGAGATAACCAAGACCCAAAAATATGAATATGGTATGCACTCACTCATTAGTGGATACTATCCATCAACCAAGGATATTGGGCCTCTAGTTCATGATCCTAGAGAAGCTAAGTAATAAGGCAAATCCAAAGACAAAACATATATAGATCCACCTGGATATTGGAGGCAGACAAGATTGCCAATAATGGGGACCTGTGGTAGAAAGAAGTTGAAAAGGCGAAAAGGAGAGGAGTAGGGGAGGATTGGGAAGAACATAGGGGGATGTAATATTTTAGATGGAAGAAGGACCATTATAAGAGCAAGGAAAGTGATATCTTGATTGAGGTGCCATTTTGAGGTTAGCAAGCAACCTGGCTATGGAAAAAAATCCCAGGAATCCACAAAAATAACCCCAGCTAAGACCCTATGCAATACAGGAGAGGGTGCCTGAACTGGCCTTGCCCTGTAGTCAGACTTATGATTATCTTAAATAATACCATAGAACCTTCGTCCAACAACAGATGGAAACAGAGGCAGAGACCCACATTGGAGTACTGTACTTAGCTCCCAAGGTCCAGTTGAAGAGTAGAAGGAGGGAGAGTATGAGCAAGGAAGTCAAGATCATGAGAGGTTCACCCATTGAGACAATATGCCCTAACTAATTGGAGCTCACCAACTCCAACTGGACTGCAAATAAATGAGCATGAGTTCAAAATTGTTATTATGAAAGTGGTTGACAGTTGGGGCAGACTGAGGAGCCAATGACAATGGCACTGGGATTTTTTTCTACTGCATGTACTGGCTTTTTGGGATCCTATTCTCTTTATGTATACCTTGTTCAACCTGGAGGTAGTGGAGAGGGTTTTGAACTTCCCACAGGGCAGGTAGCCCTTGCCCTCTCTTAATATTGGAGGGGGAACAGGGGAGGATGTTTGGAGGAAGTGGGAGGAGAATGAAAGGAGGTGAGGAACTGGGAATTTGATTGGTGTTTTTAAAGTAATAAAATAATAATAATAATAACATGCTGTACATATATTTTTAATCTTGTTCAAAGTATTGTATCTAGGGCTGGAGAGATGGCTCAGCGGTTAAGAGCATCGTCTGCTCTTCCAAAGGTCCTGAGTTCAATTCCCAGCAACCACATGGTGGCTCACAACCATCTGTAATGAGATCTGGTGCCCTCTTCTGGCCTGCAGGCATACATAGAGACAGAACATTGTAAACATAGTAAATAAATAAATTAAAAAAAAAGTATTGTATCTATACAGCTCATTTAACAATGCCATGCAAATTTTTAGTTCTGAAAGTTATTGTTTAGGATAATAAGGAAATGCAGGTTAGCAATTAGTCACCTATTACACTTAAACGTGCAGTCATATTAGGTATGTTTTCAAGGCCAAAAAGAAATATATTTTAGATGGACAGATCATCTTTAACACTTCAAAGATCTACAGAATATGGCCTTTAAGTTGTTTTAATAACATACTTTTTTTTTGTTTTTTTTTCTTTTAATCATAATGAGACATGTCCACTCCTGGCAGAACCAATTTACTTCAGAGAAGGTAATAGACATCAAAGAAACTCCATACAAAACTAAGACACTTGGTAAGAAAATGCCCTTGCTTCAGCTGCTGACAGTATGATATCCTAATTGAACAAGCAGGACACAAATTCCAGTGACTATCAAACATTGCCAAGACAAGTATAAACAGCCCTCTAAGAATATCCTCCCTCACAGATATACTAGACCTGTAGGCCAAGTATAGATTCCCCAACAATGAAGAGGAGCTTTGGATGACTATCTAGGCAGCTAGCTATTTCTGTCATTTCTCACATTTTTTTTTTGAACTTGCTTGCACTTCCATCTTACTCAGTTAATAATATTTCCTTCTTGGTCCTGAGGGAGTTGAAGATCAGATAGTTATAGTTTTCCTTCTTTACCAGACACACAAAGCAATTTATGAAAAAAAAATGTAAATTAAATATAAGACTTTGGACTCACCAAGATGCTATAGATAATACAGTATTTTCTCTGAATTTGTCAAATGCAAATGGACTAGAAATTGTTGATGTATTTATTCCCTATATATTATATATAGTTATCTTACTTGTTGTATATAGTTTTGCTTATATTAGTTAAGGCCTTCTTTTTTTTTTAGATAAAAATGGCAATATATTATCTGTGATTTAATGAATAAGGCTTGCCTGAAGATCATTGCAAGGCAGTCACATTAGTCAGAGGTATAGGTCAGGCAGTGGTTACACACACCTTTCATCCCAGCCATGAAACTAGTTATCCATAGAGGCCAGGTGATGGTGGTGCATGCCTTTAAATTAGAGGGGAGTATAAGATGGGAAGAGACAGGTCTCAAGCTCAGTGTCAATCCTGGAGGCAGGATTACCCATTTTATGTCTGAGGTAGAGGTAAGAGCCAACGGCTGGCTGCTTAGCTTTTCTGGTTTAACTCCCTCCCACCAAAAAAGGAAGAGTCTTCAAATATGATATTGAGCATGTTTTGTTTTATTTTGTTTCATCTACTGCTGAGTATGAGACCTGCCTTTAAGAGTGGTATGTATACCTACTTAGACTTGGATAATCACTTGTGTCTACTTTTCCTTTCAATGCTGGGACCTTATCTGGCATATACCTTATGTGATATGCTGCTACAGTCTCTGTTGTTTCAAGAATCTCCTGTTTCGACTGTCGAGTCCGCATCCACCCGCGAGCGCAGGCCTTTCGCAGCTCTTTTTTTGGCGCTCCACACCCGCCACCAGTTCGCCATGGATGACGATATCACTACGCTCGTTGTCGACAAAGGCTCCGGCATGTGCAAAGCCGGCTTCGCGGGCGACGATGCTCCCCGGGCCGTCTTTCCCTCCATCGTGGGCTGCCCTAGGCACCAGGGCGTGATGGTGGGCATGGGCCAGAAGGACTCGTACATGGGCGACGAGGCCCAGAGCAAGAGAGGCATTCTGACCCTGAAGTACCCTATTGAACACGGCATTGTCACCAACTGGGACGACATGGAGAAGATCTGGCACCACACCTTCTACAACGACCTACGTGTGGCCCCCGAGGAGCACCCTGTGCTGCTCACCGAGGCCCCCCTGAACCCCAAGGCCAACCGTGAAAAGATGACCCAGATCATGTTCGAGACCTTCAACACCCCAGCCATGTACGGAGCCATTCAGGCCGTGCTGTCCCTGTATGCCTCTGGTCGTACCCCTGGCATTGTGATGGACTCCGGAGACGGGGTCACCCACACTGTGCCCGTCTATGAGGGCTATGCTCTCCCTCATGCCATCCTGCGTCTGGACCTGGCTGGCCGGGACCTGACAGACTACCTCATGAAGATCCTGACCGAGCGTGGCTACAGCTTCACCACCACAGCCGAGAGTGAAATTGTGCGTGACATCAAAGAGAAGCTGTGCTGTGTTGTCCTGTACTTCGAGCAAGAGATGGCCACTGCTGCATTCTCTTCCTCCCTGGAGAAGAGCTATGAGCCGCCTGATGGCCTGATCATCACTATTGGCAACGAGCGGTTCCGTGCCCCTGAGGCTCTCTTCCAGCCTTCCTTCCTGGATATGGAATCTTCTGGCATCCACGAAACTACATTCAATTCCATTATGAAGTGTGACGTCGACATCCGCAAAGACCTCTATGCCAACATAGTGCTGTCTGGTGGCACCACCATGTACCCAGGCATTGCTGACCGGATGCAGAAGGAGATCACTGCTCTGGCTCCCAGCACCATGAAAATCAAGATCATTGCTCCTCCCGAGCGCAAGTACTCTGTGTGGATTGGTGGCTCCATCCTGGCCTCCCTGTCCACCTTCCAGCAGATGTGGATTAGCAAGCAGGAGTACGATGAGTCCGGCCCCTCCATTGTTCACCGCAAATGCTTCTAGGCAGACTGTGACTGGGCTGCCTTTTACACCCTTTCTTTGACAAAACCTAACTTGCGCAGAAAAAAAAAAAAAAAAAAAAAAAGAGACATCATTGGCATGGCTTTATTTGTTTTTGTTTTTGTTTGTTTTGGCGCTTTTGACTCAGGATTTAAAAACTGGAACGGTGAAGGCAACAGCAGTCGGTTGGAGCAAGCATCCCCCAAAGTTCTACAATGTGGCTGAGGACTTTGATTGTACATTTTTTTTTCTTTTTTTACCTTTTTTTACCTTTTTTAATAGTCATTCCAAGTATCCATGAGATATGGCTACAGGAAGTCCCTCACCCTCCCAAAAGCCACTCCCATTCTGTAGGGGAGGATGCCCTGAGTCCACACGGGGTAGGTGACAGCATTGCTTCTGTGTAAATTATGTACTGCAAATTTTTTTTTAAATCTTCCGCCTTAATACTTTTTTTTTTTTGAATGGTCAGCCATCGTGGCCCTCCTTTTTTGTGTCCCCCCAACTTGATGTATGAAGGCTTTGGTCTCCCTGGGAGTGGGTTGAAGTGTTGAGGCAGCCAGGGCTTGCCAGTACACTGACTTGAGACGGGTTTAATAAAAGTGAACACCTTACAAAAAAAAAAAAAAAAAGGAATATCCTGTTTCTTTTGTCTTCCATTCTCTCTGCATCTTCTCATCCTTGTTTTCTGAAAAAATCCATGAGATGAGAGGAGGAATTTGATGGATAAATCCCATTTAGGGCAGAGTCTTCAGGGTTATATATTCTATGCAATGTCTAGCATTGGGTCTCTCTGTCTGTTCTCATATACATCAGAAGGATGACCTTTGTTGATGGCTGAGCAAAACACTGAATATAAGTGTAGTAGAATGTCATTACAAGCCACTATATTGTTAAATATATTTATCAGATAAGTTATATTTGCTTTTCCACTAGGTTCTTGACCTATTTAGTCTCAGGATCTTAATCACCATAGCAGTGTCTAGGATGAGTTCCCTCTTACGGAGTGAGCTTCTAAGGCAGTCAGATATCTCTTGATTTCCTCCCATAAGTTTTATGCCAATATTGCACTAGCACATCTTGTAGAAAATTTACCTTTGTTGTTGTAATAGGAGTGACAGGGCTGCATCCCCAGCACCCTGGCCGCCTGCTAGCTTATGCCCCAAAATAACAACACACAGACTGTATTCTTTTAAACACTGCTTGGCCCATTTCTATCTAGCCTCTTCTAGGCTAATTCTCGCACCTGGACTAGCCCATTTCTAATAATCTATGTAGGCCCGAGGTGTGCTTACCCGGAAGTTTCTAGCCTATGTCCATCCTGGGTCGGAGCTTCATCGCGTGTACCTCAGAGAGCAGAGCTATCGTGTCTACACGGGCATGGCATTTCTGAGCTCACTTCCTCTTCCTCCCAGCATTCTGTTCTGTTTACTCCTCCAACCTATGTTTTAACCTATGAGGCCAAGCAGTTTCTTTATTACTTAACCAATGAAATCAATATATGACACTCCCACATCACTTTGTAAATTTAAAGTTTGAATGGTGTAGGAGGTGTTGTCTATGTGTTGCTTTCATTGGTTAATGAATAAAGAAACTGCCTTAACCTAGTTGATAGGGCAGAACTTAGGTAGGTGTGGAAGACAGAACTGAATGCATGGAGAAAGAAAGGCACAGTAAGAGAGAGAGACACCATGGAGCCTGCAGAGTCAGACATGCTGGATCTTTCCTGGTAGGCCACTGCTATGTGGTGATATAGAGTTTAATAGAAACGGGTTAAACTGAGTTGTAATAGGTAGCCAATAAGAAGTTAGAGCTAATAGATAAAGCAGTATTTTAATTAATACGGTTTCTGCATGGTTATTTCGGGGCTAAACTAGCCAGACAGCCTGGACAAACAAGCGGCCCTCTCCTTGCAACATTTGGTAGCTGCACTGGTATTTACATTTTACCTTTAGTAGTATGTAGGTACCTTCTAAACCATAAAGAGAAGTCACTATAGGTGACAGCTCTAGGTAGGCACCAGTTCAAATTCTCCATATTCAATGAGTTGTGAACATGTTATATACAACATTATGGCCTTACCCTTAGCTTATGGAGAGTAACTGATAGCCTTTGCAATAGTCTGGGTTGTTTGCTGGTTGCCATGAGTCCCCCTTAGTAATTTAACTTCCATCTTTCTCAAATTAATGATCTATTTGCATTTATTTTATTTTATTTTAATTATATTATTAAATATAGGATAACAATGACTTTGCTTTTTGCTTTGGTCCATGAATTTAATAAAATTATATAATATTTTATACTTAACACCTGATAATTGCTTATAGTCCTTAAAATGTATTCAAATAGCTTTACAAAATTCCTTTTTATTTTTATTTTTTATTTTTGCTGTAGTAGGACTATCAGGTCTAGCTCATGAATTTTAATGAATTACATGTATTTACTGATTCATTAAGTGCTATTTTACCTTAAGTTATTTGACACAGAAAATTAGGTGTAGGGAACTCACATATGGAAAACTTTCTATGTTGTGTGCAAAAGTGTCATGTTTTTATTTCTAAAAAATGAATGTCATTTAATTTTAATTTTATCTTTTATAAGAGGCCACAGCCTAGCACTATCTTAGTAATGTTTCTATTGAGGTGATAAAACACTATCATTGATTATGGGTACTTAGAAAAATGTGTTTCCTTGGGGCTTAGAGTTTCAGAAGGATAGGGTTACATGGAACATGCTAGTAAGTAGGGACCATGATACTAGAGATGTGAAGTTGGGACTTTACATCCTAATACATGAATAGGAAGCAGAAACTTGAGTACTTGGACCACCCAGAATCATCTGAAAGCACAAATCAGCAGTTTCAAACTATGTGTCATTTCCCTTTTGGGATTGAATGACCCATTAACAGAGATAGATTAATACCATTGAAAAATGCATATATTTAAATTATGATTCATAACATCAGCAAAATTATAGTTAAAAAAGTACCAATGAAAATGATTTTATGGTTCAGAGAGTGTTAGAACATGAGGAACTGTGCTAAAGAGGTACCATATAGAGAAGGTTGAGAACCATGGCCTCAAATTTAAAACCAGTTACATACTTTCTCTCACAGGACTACACCTTCTAATTTTTCCCAAACTGTCCATCAAACTGGAGACCAAGTCTTCAAAATGAGGCTAGGAGTCATTATCATACAAAACACCATAGGCTCTAAAGGGCTTGTTGATACAATGTTATTTGTCAGTCACTACTACTAATTAATATATCAAATTAATCATTTTTTTCTGAAAAAGAACAACATTTTTGGTGGAAAGAAAATAATTTTACTGATTTGTAAATCACTCAGATGTCTTAAATTTTTTTAAAGTGTGAACTAAATGGATCATATATTTTATTAAAAAATTACCAAGATCCTTATTTTACTTCAGACATGGTAAAACAAGACAATAAAATTAAAACCAAGATGTGTACCTATCAATAACTTTCAAATAAACTATGAATGATAATCAGGCTTGTGATGGATAATACTGTTACTTGACTGGATATAAAATTGTCTAGTAGACAAGCCTGTGTGTATGACTTCAAGAGACCACCTAGATTTGGTTAGCCCCAACTAACTTCGGCCAATGATTATGAGGATTATGTGAACTGAGGTGGGAAGATTCATCTTCACTGTGGGTAAACCTGTTTGATGATCTGGAGTTCTAGACTAAACAAAAGTAAGGAAATGCACCAGCCATCAGTATTCTTATTCTTCTTCCGTAGTCTGAGCACAGTATGAACAACTGCCTCACTCCCACTGCTGCCACTTCCTCACCATGAGGACTTAGACACTCAAACTGTGAGCCAAATTAAATCCCACCTTTCTTAGGTTATTTTTGTCACTGTTTTTTTCACAAGACAGGAAAATAATAATATGTCTTAATTTTGTATACAACTGAAACTCCAGGAATTAAAAATGAAAATCCTTGGCAATGAACATCTTGGACCCACCACAAAAATTTGACACCCTGGTTCCCCATTGTTTCACATTGTGTTTAAGCTGAAAGACTCTTTCTTGGCCACTGCTGTCAAATTCATATGAATCCTTTTCTTATGTACCTTGGTAAAGTCAGGTCCTCAAGAATCACACAAAGCATAATTGTCAACATGCAAAATCTGTGGAGCTTTGGCTTATATAGCGTATGACTTTTTAAAGTTGGTTCATAGAGAATTCTTTTCTGCATAGTAAAGGTTACACATGGAGAACGGAAAATTCTTAGAAAGAGTTGTTAAATAAGGAATGGAGAACAAGAACATGAGGGAGAAGCTACTTTCGGAGTTCAGGGATCAGCCCAAACTCAATATGTATGCAGATTCTGTAAAAAAACATGCTACTTTGTAATTGGAGCTATTTTTCAACTTCTATAATACTACATGCTTCCCGCCGAATGTTTGCTCCAATTTTGCACTAGGCAGATTTAGGTTTTTTAGATAGATTTAAGTTGGAAAACTAGAACATAAATTTTGATAGATTTTTTTTTGAACAATCAATGTCAATTTTGCCGTTATGAAGCTGAAGTCCCACAGCTGGGCTTTGACATCTGTGTTCATTTTCAGTTCTATAAAGTCCTGGAAAATGATCAACTCAAATTAGTGTAGCTTCTTCCCATTGGGCATCAGGATTTTGGGGACTTAAACTGAACATGGCATTATCCTTGAGGCTCAGTTCTCCTGAAAGTTTCTTATATCCAGGTGGCAGATAGGAAGAATCAGGTAGAACATGAGTGAAGGCATAAAAATAAGAATTACAGCAAACATTTTCCAAGGCATGCTTACTTAGGAATGTATACTAATTCATTGTACTCATGTATCCTCTTTTGTACTTTGTAAAAATCTTTATGCATGGCCAATGTGAACTACAGAGCTAGTTCTAGAACTTCTAGGGGTGTTACTGAAAGAAAACATGTCTCAGAAAAACAAACAAACAAGCAAAAAAAAAACCCAAAAGAATATTGGAAATATAGTTTATTTGAGAAACATAAGATGAATGATGCATTACTTGTCTGTAGGTTAGACTGGAAGATGAAAGCTGAAAGACCC